AAGACGTGTTAAATGATAACCCGGGCAATCTAATCAGTGAAATATTTCCAAGTTGGAATCCCAATACTTTGATTTGAAAATAAACGATCAATTAATGCTTTTTAAATTCTCAATCAAAGTTTTTCTTTCAGTTCTTTTTTTTTTTTCTTTTTCAACATAATGAGTGGTGTGAGTGTAATTATGTAATTCATCACGACAATAAGAATGAAATAATCAGCGTTACGTTCACTGACTTCCGGCAAGTCCTGGTACTCACAAGGCTTCAGGAGCTAATTCAGAAGTGACTTCATCAACATACTAGCTTTCTACTTGCTCTCTTAAGAGCAAAGTTGTAGCACACTTGACTTTAGTGGAAGCTTTAATTCGCAATGTTACTTTAAGTGCGTTATAGTTGCACGCTCAGTTCGTCACTGTAAAAGTATTCCGATCCCAGAATAGGGCTAAGCATACCAGTTAAAGGTCGTTTTCATGTAAATCCGTAAGGCTTTTCTAATGCTTTTTGCGAGTAATTTATGAGTACTTTGACAAAGAACGCTAATTACCTTTTCTAGTATTTATTCTATTTGTTTTCTTTCAACAACAATACCTACCAAGCATATTACCGAACTTTTTTTCAATAAGTAATATCGTTTTGCTTATCGGTGGATTAACAAATCTTTCCGTTTAGGAAACTGAGCTTTATTTTTATTCCTTTTTTTTTTTTGGCCTTCCTTTTTCTCTTGTTTAGAAACTGTTATATGCGAAGCTGACATCATGGGAAACCAGAAATGAAAAGTTGACAAGAGAATTCTGTAACAGCTTACTACGTCAGCTGAAAGAGAAACATCTTGATCCAGTCCTCCAACGACTGCAGAGGAAAGAAGCTGCAAAAATATCTTTCGATGAAGTCATTGGTGGATACAATCAGATGCAGGAGGATTACAAGAATTCTGCCATAGGTGCCAAAGATGTTATTGCCGCGGTTTGGACAGAGTTTCATCCGGTAAGATTAAACGTTGAAATTAGTCCATTTCTTTCGAATTGAGTACTGATCGGCCATCTGCTGAGTTAGATTGGTTTGTCGGAGCGAAAACTGAAAAGACATCCCCTCTAAGTCGCAAATGAAGACATCCGATTAAATGTCTAGGCTATTATTCCTTTCAGTGAACTTTTGTTCTGTTTTGTTTGGTTGCAGGCTCTTTTAAAAGAACAGGAACAATCCTTAAATTGGCTAGGACAACTCAAAGACTATGATGAGAAACTAGCCCAAGAATTAGCAGCCAAGGCTTTACAAGAACAGAAGAATCAAAAGCTTGAGGTTAAAATTTTTTTTCTCACGCTGATTTTTGGCTTTAGAAAACTTGAATAAGCAAAATAACTTTTAGACCTCGTCATCTCTTTTTCCTTTGCACAACGGGCAAACGAATAACAAGACTCTTTTTTAGTATAAATATTTTAATATTTAGTTTTGCATTTTTTATTTGTTTGAGCTTAAACTTTATTTTGTAGGATGACAGAACTCGGTATTTCTAACAATCATTTGTTTTTGGCGGGAAAATGACGTTATAGGAACAGCAAAAATTGATTTTCTACTTCTGACGTAAAAAGTAAGCATTAAATCCTACGCCAGTCACCGAGCCGTCTCCCAATATATTTGAATAACGCTCAAAGGTTGTGGTATATGGCTGACGACTTATATTCGGGTACACAGGGGAACTGAAATGTTACAACCACGTGCATTTTTCTCTGATTTTTGGCAACATAGCTATTCTTACTAACTCGAGTAAGCGGATTTCGAAAATCATTGTTGCCAAGCTCAATTCTTTTGTTAAAGTGGTATTTGGGGCATTTCATTATGACCGTTTTGCCCAAAAAAGGAGTTTTCTTTCCTTTAACAATTTTACGTTTACTATAACCAGAGACGCTTTGAACTTGTGATTAGTGTACTGTAAAGATGATTACGAAAATTTCTGGCAGTTTTTAAGCTGTGTCTACTAATATTAAGCCGTCACTTAACACCTGACCACGCCCTTTGAATAGTTGCGTTTTGAAAACGAATGTAATACTTGTATTAACAGGAAGCTGCAAGTAAAAACATGCAACCCTTTCAACATCGTCCATAACACGTGTTCTTAGCAATTGTAAGACCTCTCTGTTCCTGCACCAAGCACTTTGGGGTAAAAGCGTTTAACGGCTAATTCAAAGGGAGAAACTAAAGAAAAGACAGGGGGTGTTTAGGGGTGGCTAAATGTGACTGGAAAAAGATTTAAACGGCACTCCACGTGCATGAGATCTCCCTTTCCCTGTAGGAGAGATACTGCCGAGCCGAGCTAACGGTGCACGAATACTGACCTGTATCACGAAAACTTCCTCAGCGCTTAGCAGATGGGTTCTATCTTACCACCTGGGTTCTCATATTGGTGCGTAGACATCAACGATGTCGTATAACATACACCACGATGACCGCTTCATCCAAAGACAGAGTGCCAGGGAGAGACAAAGGCAAGATAATAAAGCTGAAAATGCACCACACTACATAACTTCGGGAGTCTTCACTCAGACAAAAGATCCTACCTGCGACTTGGGAAATTGAGCAGTCTCTTGTCCAAGTTGTTATAAGGTACAGACTCAGGTTGAAACGTTTGTGCAATGTAATGGAGGCTACTTTCTACAGACAGAACAGAAGAACAGGATTACAAAGTTAAAATTGGTACAACTAGTTTCAAGACAAGAGGGGTAAGACTAATCTGTGGAACTGCAGACCGTTGAACCACGGAACTGGGGAACCGGCAGAACTTACGGAACCTAAAGAAATGACTGTTTTCATTACAACTGCCTTTGGCCAACGTGATAAAATGATTAGGTAAATCAATTATAACATTGATAGACTGTTCACAGTCCCCTATTTCCTCGAAAGATCGTCGAAATCGAGCGCTCACTGGCAGTCAGTTTAGAATTGGTTTCAAATGTACCAAGGGGGCGGACCTCAGGGTTCCCAAACCGTCCCCCGCCCCCGAAGCAGTTCAAGCTTGACCCGGTCAATATAGCTTCCTGTAGCACGCTTACTCGACGATTTTGTGAAAAATGGGGTATAACACCATAGCATTAATCGAGAGCTCTGGTTCCGAACTGGAAGTCCACAAATCGCGGATTTCCGCCTTGTTAGTACGTAGGAAGGCAACGAGAGGTACATATTTAAGCACAGTAGCACAAGGTTGGGAGGATGAGAGAATATAATGTGAATGTGTTTGTGAAAAATAGATGATATTGAGCGAATGGCTCGGTGGTATCTGAGAACTAGTGGGATACGTGTGAGTGAGTCGGCTATGGTTCGCTGGGTCAGCACGTTAGTGTGTGTGATAGGTTGAACTCGTTGAATTCCCTGGTACAGGAGACCGAGATTGTATCCACGTCTGTTACGGTAGTGTTACGTTAGTTCGTTAAAACGCAGTTCGAACGTCTCGTTGAAGGAACATATACCTCGCATTCTCAGGGCAAGGCTGAATGGAAAAGCTCTTTTAGTGTGTAAGGGGCATAAACAGAAATAAGTAGATGCATAAACAGAGAGATATTAAGTTGGGATGGTAAAAATTACATTTCCCAAAAGTGACTAAGATGGGGTCTATATTTGGCCACAGAATGGATTATAATCGGGAAGAGGTTCTGAGAGACCAGCGGCACATACCCAGCAAAGATTTAACACAAGTAACCCCTTCATCACCCCCCCACTTTTTTTGAACGTAAAAGGTACTGATGTTCGGCGGCTGTAGGTTTACTATAAAGAACAGCTTCAATAATCGATACCATCATTGAAGGGCACCTTGACGCAGAAAAAGGGGAAAGATTTGAATGAGCAGTTTGATGTAAATTTATAGTGGGATGAAGTTTCAGTTTAGGTAGGAGACGGAATAATACGTTTATTGTGAAAATGAATTTGCGGAGATCGCAAAGATTCTGCCACATGTATGGTGATGGCTGCAGAGCGGTCTGCCGTCACGAGAAGTGACGCCAGGCGCCAATACCCACACTCAGTTTACTGTATTTAAATCTATACCTTTTGTTTCCTTGCGACGACTACTAACACGCCGAACAATAGCTCTAGATCTCGACCAATCAGCGGGCGAATTATTGAAAAATAATTGATTGTAACTAATTATTTTATCTCGTTGACCAAAGGCAGTTGTGGTAAAAACAGACATTTCTTTAGGTTCCGCTGGTTCCACAGGGGTCGGCAGTTCCGCACATTAGTCTTACCCAAAACAAGAGAATTTTATGCTGTCTGTTAGTGACAGTTTATGAATTCAAGAGCGAGGTAAAAATACAAGCCAAATTGAAGCATGAGCTAATACCAGTGCCACTGTCTCTCGCAGACAGAGAGGTTCCATTGCAAGTGTTTCCTGCACTAAGCGGATTTAGCACGGTTTCTCTCAGCCGAGCGTATCGCGCAACCAGTCAGGTTGACACTGCAATCGTTGTATCTTGTGGTTGTTCAAATTAGAAGCAATTTTCTTTTAAGATCCTATCCTTGACGTAGCTGTTCGAAATCCAGCCACGAAGAAGTCGATATGAAATTTTGTTGTCTATGTAATCATTCTTAACGAGGATATAAACGACGTGGTAGTCTCCTCTAAAGACACAGACGTCTCCACTAAGTACATCCCCTGGCGCAACGCAATAAGCTGATAAGGAATGGGTATGGTAGGAACTTAGAAGCCAAATTAGATCCTTTTGCAAGAGATCTCGGTAAATCTTCCTCGTAACTTGTCATGTTCAGGGGCGTAGCCAGCCCATAGACCTGTAGGCCCCGGCCTACAAATTTTTGGTTCGATCATTCTACCGCTTGTATAATAAATTATGCATTGTTGGAGCGAGCTAAAAAGATTAGGGGCTCAACGTATTGCTGAGGTCAGTGCGTACTAGTCATGTCACAGGTTGTGACAGCACCTCGTTTATCTGTAAACATTCAAAGAATACTGTGAGGCCGCACTTTGTATTTCCTCCTCTTTGGACGAGTCTCAACGTCCTCCGTGCTAACACCATCGCACCTGCAGATAGGTATGTTTTTCCGTTATGTATGACGGATCCAAGAGACCAACTGGACTTTGCTCGTTCCTTGCTATTTGTCAAATTCAGTAACCCAGAGAAGCTACGTGCTCTTTACGACGCGTTCAAGTAACACCTGAGATGCCACTACCAAACCACGGTTTGACGCCAAGCACAGATTCCAAAAGCGGAGCTTCCGAACCTTGAGGAGACAGGATGAACGCTGAAGATGAGGATCTACTGGTCTCTATTTTCATGACCCTCGATCCAATCTTAGAGGCTTGTCTGGAGTGAGTTTTAAACTGGTTCGCCACTGGCTGTGCTGTAAATGCTTATCGTGTGCACTCGGCTGTGTGGATGTATTAAGGCCGACGCTAACTGCTGCATCAACCGGCACTCGCTTATGTGAAAAGCTTAAGTGATGTTAACTTTTTAAGAGAGTTAAGAAAATTCATTCACAATTCTTACAATATGGCAGACTGAAACCTTAGAGTAAGGAGCGACGTCCTGACATGTTCTATTCGTAAATTTTACATGAATTCAACCAGTTACTATCATGAACCCGACAAAGTAAATTGTGAAATGACTTACATTCAAAAATACACAAAAAAATACTAAAACTTAATCTCCAGTCGTAACAATAAACATGTTTTTTCACCAAAATATCACAATTATACAAGGAGAGTACTTGGCACCTGGCCATACCCATGACAAGGTGAATTTCTATGAGAGGGCAAGGTCGATGTTGACGTGACGGCTTATTATTTATTAGAAAGCATTGTAAAAACTGTCCGAAATTCTCTTAACCATCTTTACAGTACACTTACAGCAATTTCAAATCGTTTTTTGGTTATATTTAACTTAAAATTGTTAAAGGAAAGAAAACTCCTTATTTGGATAATGACGTCATAATGAAATGCCTTAAAATGCATCTTTTCACAAAAATTGAGCTTGGCAACAATGATTTTCGAAATCAGCGTATTCAAGTTAGTAAAAATAGCTATGTTGCCAAAAATCAGACTAAAATGCCCGTGGATGTCACATTTTGGTTTCCGACTATTAAGAGGCGGTCTCAGTAAAAACCGCCAACTCAATTTCGCATGACCAGTATTTTTGCCTTAAACTCTGGCGAGTGAAAGGCTTTATCGAGAATACAACTCAAATAGCTTTTCTTTGATTCACAATTATTTTCTGGCCGAGCTCGGGGGAACTGAGTATTTTGTCCCGCCACGGCCAGTTTGCACGTCTCGAAAATTGAAAATTTGGCATTTTCTGCAGCACTGTAAAATATTTGATTTGCACCATCTGCCAATGCATTTTACCCCTATCTCTAGTTTTTCCTGAACGTAATAGTTATTCACTAAATGTAGCCGAAAAGACGAAATCAAGCAAAATATGACACCAGCTAATTCCCTTGGAGCGAAAGGCTAAAAATGACCATAGTTTAAACGTTTATTTCTGACCTAGTTGAAAGCCCTAGATCAAATAGACAACAAAAAATAGATCATCCATTATTAAGAATATACGAAAACTCATATACGATTTCAGTATTTTAAAAGTTATTCCCGTTTCTGTTATATCAACTTACCTGCAAGCTAATATAATCTTTTCAGATTTGGCGACTGACGGATTTATCTCAAGCAGATTTTGTCAAAAGTACGGCTTACCTAATTCAGTACTAACACTGACTCATTAATTGAGCCATATTCCAATCTCTGAAATGCCGGACTCCATAAAATTCCAGTAAATGCGTCTTAGAAGCTGCTGGTTTGCGGCCATATTTGAATCCCGCGTGCAAACAATACGAGTTTCAAAACAGGTGAAACTCTTTCACATTTTGAGCTAAATAGCACGGTAAAACACCTGTACAGAGTTGAGAGTTTCGACAATCAGAGAATCAACTAAGTAGGTTTCATTTTGGGTAAGAAAATTGAGATAAAAGAGCTACAACCTCGAGTAAGTTTTCTATTCAACCGGCTCTACAAGGTTAAATGTAAGTGAAACCCGGAAATCCGGAAAAGCGCATCATTTGGATACCAGCAAATCCGAAATCAATCAGAAACCAAAGCCAGTCCCAAAAGTTAGAAGCAGCTGCATTCGTTTAGGGCTTCTTTTCGACGCTGAGACACGTAAAGGTAAAACCTGCCAAATGAGCAAACCTTAAACGAAGTGTCTCAGCGCCTTTCTTCGCCTTGTGGCATCGGGTTATGGTCAATCTCTGAGATGCCAAATTCCATAAATTCCAGTAAATGCGTATTAGAAACTGCTGGTAAGCTGTCTATTTGAATCCCATGCTAACAATCCGAAGCTCAAACCATGTGAAACTATGTCGCGTTTCGAGAGAGATAGCGCGGTAAGAAACAAAATAAATTAACTGTCCTGCGGAGAGAGTTTGTTCGAGAATCAAACACCAGCCAAGCAGATTTCGTTTTGGGTCAGACAGTCCAAATTTAAGGGCAAATGTAGGAATAATTTTTCCGCCATTTTTCGGCGTTCTCCTAGTGTCACCATTGGGTATATTGCATGGGAGTTTCTTGCAACCGTTCCTACATTCCATGACTTTTACCTGCTTTCCTCATGTTATCCGCTATCCGTGTTATCCGTGATACCGAGAGAAAAATGTCCCCTTTGGAATAAATAGCTGTTTTAATAATAGTAATAATAATAATAATAATAATAATAATAATAGAGAGCGAGCGAGCGAAGCGAGTTTATAATCTCGTCACGCGCGAAGCGAACGCGCAGTACGTGAACCACGCGTGGTCTTAGCCAGCCGCAAAATTCCAAAATTGGATGCCCTATCTTTTGGTGTTCGCCAATGACGTGATGTGGGACATAGACTTTGCCCCCGATGACCAGGGCGCACTTTCATGTTGTATTCATGAAGGACTGATGTGTTTGTTCATCGTCTGGAATCAATGTTTACGATCGGCGAATCACAAGTAACAGAACAGCAAGCACAACAATTGGCTGGAAATCCTCGCCGGCGAATATTTTCCACCGAAACTCCTCAGAGAGAAAATCGCTTGACACAGCGAAGGCAACGTCGTCAACACAGCGACCACAAACACGTACAGAAGCAGCGAAAAAATACTACAATTACACTGCAAATGAAACGGATGAATAGAGGGAACACCGACTGCCGACGCTTCAAAAGCGATGAGGAGATCAGGCAACGCTTAAAGTTAACTTTACAGTCCGAAAAATTATCTTCTTCTGTGCAACGATAGGCAGCAACAGTCACATGATCTATACAATGCACGTGAAGAATATCTTTCTAACTCACCGAGGAGAGGCTATCAGCCTTTACACCATAAGCATAAGGTTTTACAGTAAGCTTTATTTTACAATGAACAGATGATAACACCGATAATGTGTGACATTTAGGGAAGCGTTACATTTGTAAACAAAATCCTTACTGAACAAAATTTTCTTTTACAATTTTCATTACATTTACTTACCCAAAACCATCTCAAGTAAAATTATATATCTATGTACAGCAGCCTTATACGTAAACACAGCTGTGTCTTTTAAGTCAAGCGGAACAAAAATTTATTATTGTTGGCCTCCTTTTTTCGATCCTATTTAATATTCGAAAAGATAAGCATCTTTATTTCGGATCTCCCCACAATATTAGTGTGTGACATGTGTCATCATACCAGGAAAATTAATTCTTTTCCCCGTAAGGGCGTCTGTTTCTAGTACACGAAGTTTTGATTGCAATTGGCCAGGGAAGGTTTACATTTGACTGTCAGTCTGGGAATTTGAAAAACTGTCTCTGGCAACCATGTCGCAACTTTGATGCTCATTCACGTTGAAAATTCAGAAACTGATCACCTTCAGCATGACTTGTATGTGAACATTTCATACAAATTCACTCTTGCATGGGTATTTATTTCTCAGCATGTACACTAATAACTATGAACACTTTCATAAATGATTTGGTACTTTTTACAGGGATAATTCAGTGCTAATGAGGGTACCGCATATTCAATGATCATGCTATAAGCCATAATCAGTTTCATAATTCGCCCCAACAACATCCTTAATAACATTGCTTCATGTAATTTCTATTTTGTCTTAATATTTCCAGACCTTAGATTTTTAACTTTCATTTTTTGTATAATGTATATATTTTTTAAGCTTTGTAACTAATTTCTCTCGGTATTTTATTATATTTTTTAGCTTTTAGGTTCTACGTTAACCTGATCATCGTAAAGCGCTATGAAAGAGTAGCTGAATAGCGCTATATAAATTACTATTATTATTATTACTAGGGTATCTAAAAGATAGTAATGCTGCGGCACATTCTGTTGATACTGGCATTAGTTACTTAGGCAGTGGGACTTAAAAGAATCGAAAATGACATTGAATGTCCTATTTACATGTTGGAAAGTACTAGAATAATTACTATCAGTCTATAGAAAGAACTCGTGGGAACGTTGTTTAAAAAAATGATCAAGTGGTTATCAACTCTGGTTTTCCCACAGTAAATTGTAGGAAATGATAGAAATTCAGATTGTTTATCCATATATTTTATATAGGGTGTACTATCTTTTCTCTGGAAACATGATACTTTTCTTGCTGTTTATTGCACTTTATTAAGTAACAGTTATTTAGCTATATATTTATAGAAAACAACAACACAAAAAACAGAAAAAAAAAGAAGGAAAAAAAGAGTACGATAGGACTCGAACCCAGCACCATCGGCTCGATGCGACTACACCTCACCACTACACCACAGAGAATGATAACGTACTTTGGGAAAAGTCTTTAATTTAATTCCTTTTCCGTGAAACTTCCGCCAGCAAGATGATCGTCAGCCGCATCAATCGAGCTATTAACAGCAAAAAAACAATGTAAACGCATATTCCATGGCAATGAATGAACGAAAGAACATAATTATGCTTTTCAAAACGCCGATACAAGACCTCGTCTGCAACGTAGGACACAAAACATATGTTTTGTTATCTCGATTTCAACTGGTATTTTGAAGCGAATGGTCAAAATCACATCCATTTCCGGCTCATACAGGTTCTTAAGAATAGCATGGCATGACATTTTCTCACTTTCACGTCACCTTCTAACAAGCTGGAAGTTGTATATCCCCCGTGTTGCCGAGTCGAAGAGCAAATACTCATCTTCTTGTCAGGTTTAACACCTGGAAGAGTCAAAGGCTCTTGAATTGAAATCCAATCCCCAAGTTAACCATCGTACTCATCTGAAAGACTCCTGCCTGTCTTAAATTTGGTAAGACCTCTAACCGTGCTGTAGAAAATTTGCTACAAAGAAAACTCTGAATCTGGGAAGCGAACGATGCGAACTTCCCCGTGTTTTTATTTGACTTGTTCTTGGCGCAATGCACTTTGGTTAAATGCAATGCATTGTGGTAAAAAGTGTGGTTAAATGCAATGCATTGTGGTAAAAAGTGATGAATTCGAGAATTCGTCGCCCCTTATATATTTCCCTTAAATCCTGATTATGTTGCTGCTCGCTCCCTACGGTCGCTCCGCAGCAAAATTATTATTATTATTATTTTCAGAGCTTAAATCGTCACTGATCAGTTTTGCTGGATCAGATTCCACTTCAACTTGACAGGGAGGGGATAAACGAAAGAGAAAATGACGAGAGGGGTGGGGGTCGATTATTCGAGGGAGGCGATTAATCGCGGCTATTATTCGAGAACATATGGTATATTATCTCGCGAGGAAGTATAACTCTGTGTGAATTTCCGGTCGTAAAGGCGAGAAAATCCCTTTTTTTTTGCTTTTGAAAACAGGTTGCATTTTTAAATAGCTAAAAACAAAGACGAGGTGTTTTCACTGTATTTCCGGACTTTTTCGGCTTTATCTAGTCAAAATTGCATGGCCTAGTGAAAACACAACCATCGTGAAGACTAGAACTAATAAACATAGAAATACAGATATATCGGTTCGTGTGGTAGAAATAAAAAAAATACTGAAATCGTACTTGGGTTTTGTATATTGCAATAATAGATATCTATCTTTTTGTCTATTTGGTCTAGAGCTTTCAGCTAGGTCCCAAACGTCAGAAATTAGCTTTTAAACCATCGTCATTTCTGGCTTTCGCTCCAGGGGAATTAGTTGAGGTGATATTTTTCTTAATTTCCTCGTTTCATTTAGTGAATAACGTACCATTACGTTACCATTACTTCATTTCGTGAATAACGTACCATTACGTTAAGGAAAAACTTGAGATGTTTACCGGTATATTCGTTGGCAGATGGTGTAAATGAATCACTTTGAAGTGCCGCAAAAAAATGCCAAATTTTCAGTTTTGAAGACATGCCAACTGGCCGTGGCAGTACAACTACTCAGCGTCCCCCAGCGCGGCCAGAAAATAAAGCCTTTCACTTGCAAGAGTTTCAGTGAAAATTATTTTTCACTCGAAACTGAGTGGGACAGCCTCTAAAATATTTATCTGTTTTATTTAACAGGAAGAACAAAAAAAATTGGTTCAGATGAGTCAGGAAATGAAGAAAGAGGTTAGCCAAGCATTTTGTTGGTACTAGGAGTAACTTAACGTAGGCCCTGGTCGAACGATGTACTTTCCTTGTGCCGAACGCAATTAATTGACGTTAACTCAGATGAGAAGTTCGGCGTTTGACCCCAATAATTCCGGCTGTTGTATTTGGATCGATTGAAGCGTTCTTCAGGGCTGGAGTTTCGAGGTCAGGATCATTTCCGGGACTGAACAGAATAGTATGTTGAGTCTGTCTAAATATAATCAGCCAAACCTAACAGGGTCAGAAGCCGCATTCCACATAAGTCCAACCCAATCAAATTTGCCATGTCCCCGTCTTAGCATTTAGAAGCTATGCGTTAGTAATTTAAGTGAATCAAGCTGTCGGGTTTGGGACTCTGATCTTACAGATGGTCGAGAGCTTTTTGCCTCTTTTTATCTTTTTTTTTGGCTTATTCATTGTAGATGGAAATGTTACGCAGAAAACAAAAAGAAGAGAGGCAGAAGGTTAATGAGCAGTTGGAAAACGAGCGTACACTGCAACAGGAACAAATGAAAAACATGATGGAAGCAAACATGAAGAGTGCAAAACGCGAGAGAGAACTACTTGAACAGAAAAACCAGGATCATATTGAAAGCTTGAAACGTCAATACGAGGCTAAAGAAGCGAGACATGCGAAAGAGATGAAAGATATGCAAGAAAACTTGAATTCGTTGAAGAAGGAGCTAGCCAAATTTAAGGAACCAGGGTTTTTTGAGTACTATTATTCGGGGAGCAAGGAATGGGCTGACAAAAATTGCTTGATAATGTGACAAGTACCTCGGTCTCTCTTGTAAGGATGGTGGAAGAAAGGTTTTTTTCTTAGCTTAGCATTTTCCGATTTTTTCTATATTCTTGTTGTCATTGTTTCATTCAAATATTGTGAACGACGAGTGATATCAACGAACGAAAGAATAATACATCGTAGGTAAGGCAATCGTATAATAACTTCAAGTCATGAAAATATCTGTAATATGACTTTAGTAAAAAAAGTTATAACAACAAATTAAATGATTCAGAAAATAACTAACATTATTATTGATCAAGGACATTTATTCCTTTTTGATTGGCTCAAATCCTGCGGCTAATTCTTCATAACCATAAACAAATAGCCGAACTGCTGTCTAAAAACATAGCAAAACCAGAATGAATACAATTCGCTGTTTGACATCCGCTATTTGGAGAATATCTGCAGAAGTAAACGAGCCTTATAGTATCATGATTAGGCTGTGAAACAGGCAAATGGAGACGGGAACTTGAAATCGATGAAGGCAAGCATGTTTTAGCTTTTCTTTAAACCAGGGATTATTTGCTATTAATTAAATTGTGCAGATCTAAGGGGTGTTATCTGCCACAGCTTGGTGGATATAACACCCTCCTCATAATTCTTCAGATCATACTCAACTTTAATTAATAATTCACGAGGGTTCGTTAAGGCTTCCGTTTAATGGTTTAAGGCTTACTTGACAGAAGGCAAATCGTTGTATAGTGAAGGGGTCAACATCTAACCCCCAATCCGTCTCGTTTGGAGTCCCGCAAGGTTCCTTGATCGGTCCGTTGCTGTTTATAATCCACATCAATATCACCTGCCTTTGGTGGTGAAACATTTAAAATCCAATTGTATGCGGATGATACCCTCCTAGTATAAGTAAGTATATAGTAGCTCCTCACCGACATAGAATCCATTTCATCTGAAGATCTTTCCATGATCTTAGGCATATAACAATAATTTCCTCTACCTCAACTAAAGCAAAACTAAGGTAATGTTGACTGGTACTCATCAGAGGCTTGTCCTAGTTGATAGTTTCATAGTCATGGCAGGGGACACTGAGTTGTCACGAGTCTATCAGTTTAAGGCTGGATTCATACCTCTCTTGTGATGACCACATAGACTATATCGGGCACATAATATAGGCAAAGCTAGGCATGCTTTGTAAAGCGTGCAAGGTCATTCCGCGTGTTTAACACTTTATAACGCCATGATACTTCCAGTATTTTACTATTTACAATTCCCTTCGATTAAAAAAAAAAGACACTTAATTTCCATTGAAAAAATTCATTCTATTAAAAATATATTTATGCGAAAAAAAAACGGTTCATTTCAACTAAACTAATTTATGAGCTCACGCCATTATCACACACGCTTGGGTAGCGTTTAAACGGCAGTCATCAATGAAATCCCCTTGTGGAATTTTGTGGAAGGGTGTCCTATACCTCTTACGCATGTGTGTACGGACTCTAGAATCTCAAAAAGCAATGTTCGAATTTAAGTAATAGTAATGTGATAAGGTTCCTCATTCTTTTCTGAGAGCTTCTCGGCTAGGTGTTTGAGAAAACAGTTGCAGTCGGCTCCCATCCCACCCTTGGTTCCAAAAACTAGGGGAGTGAAAGATCCCATTTCAACGTCCAGCACCCTCTGCTGGTATTTCCGTTTTTTTCCTCCTCCTGCTCCTTAAAGATTGTGGATGTTGCTTTTCCCTGGTTACACATGGAGTTAACATGCGTTACTCTGACATCAAAAAATGCTGTAACTCCACGAGACCAAAAGCCCCCTGCCTTGAAGACCAGTCTTGCCTCCGGGCTTGTTAACGCGCTTCTGAGGTTGAATCGCTCATTATGGAGAGGTTGTAGTCATGGTTCGACTTCAACGCTGGTGCCAACCTTACCAATAAGTGAGGTAAGTAGGTTGCGAACACCATCGTGTCTCTGCTCCACGAACCCTTCCCTTTGGCATGACAGGGCATGGCAGACGGTATACTTCTCACCACAAAGACACTTGCTTGGTAAGTCGGACAGGGGCATATTATAATTTATTTATATATTTATCTTCGCCTAACTAGAATACAATCTTTATACGTGAATACATAAAAATTATTAGGCAGGGAGACCACTACAGCCTAACAAATTACAGTAAATCCCTCGTTAATTAAAAAACAAAACATAAAAATAACTAAAGCTACTGATATATAAACAAGAAAATTATCGTCCGTGAATGTAACGGTTCCTACGACGTTTTGTCACGCGATAACTACCGCTTGCCTCGCTTTTGCATAATTCATTACCAAGTTTAAAATAGATTCCTGGTAACTGTCTCTAGCAAAGGCACAACAAATGGATATACATATAAGCGTCAACATAACTATTCGCAACATGTTCATGAGCTGTAAGCAAGTTGCCCTTTCGAAATAAACCGAAACCTGTGGACATTGATAAGTTCGGGGGCATTTTGACGTGTGTTTGTTTCGTAACGGGCATGCACTGCCAGGCCTGGGGCACTTCTAAGTTACGAACCAATGTCTTGCTGTTTATCACGTAAAATTAACACTTCAGAGAAAAATCAAAAGTAAATATTCTGAAAATTAATTCGACACTTCTAAAAAGATCAGTAAAGTCAATAAAGCTCTTGTAATGTATGTACTGTCGCAATTTGTAATAATCATCGCACTTTGTAATACCTGTCGCAATTTGTAATAAATCCATCGCACTTTGTAATACCTGTCGCAATTTCTAATAAACCGTGTCGCACTTTGTAATAAAAGAGCTGTCGCAATTTGTAATAACAGTCCATCGCACTTTGTAATAAACTAAGCTGTCGGAATTTGTAATAATTCCATCGCACTTTGTAATAATTTTTTGAGAGTGATTCAACTTACTTCGTCAACATTAATATAATGCCAAAATATGCTACTTCATAAACAAAGATGGTGACGTCTGCTAGCACGTAACATCTCCGTAACATTTTCTTTGGTCAAACATGCATGTCTACCGCTATAAATTTTTCTGCCTTGATTAATCACGTGACCAACTAGAAAAGCTTTTATGAAAGACATGAAACTTCCTGTGACATATCACCAAAAAGATATGAATCATGTTTAAAATCAAGAATATTTAAATAACAAAAGCAACATTTAACAACAGAAAATTCATGAATAACCTGGCATTCGTCGTCCAAATCCATGTTTGCTTGCCACGTGACACGTGAAGTCTTCGGGGGGGGGGGATAATCCCATATATGGATGGGCTAGATAGGTAAGTATCGCCTGATAGGGTATTGTTTTTGAGGATCTCGAGCCTTTAATAGGGTATCATTTTTTACGTTGTTGGCCTTGTGTCTTTGGTTTGATCCTTAGATAGGGTAACTCAAGTAGTAATGGATGGTTTATTCCATCCTTTCCATTTTGTGGAAAAACAGTAATCCAGAACACGCTCGAAAGAGTTGTATATACGCAGGGAAGGATAATTTTTTACTATCCCGGCCCCATGGTATTTGCGTTAGAGGACTCCTTATAGAAAACAATTGTTTTAAGATGGAATGAGTACTCCTTTTGATCCTATATGGGACCAAATCAAGTGAGAATAATGGGCCAAATGCCCAGCCAGCTCAGTGTAAGACCCCAAGTGAGTGTTATAAAAACAGGTACATGCGAAGGTATTGGCCAGCGACTAATTGGATTTTGTTTTTAGGTTTCTGTTGTGGTTCGACGGTTTGCCACTGGTGACATTTTTTTTTTATTTGCAGTAAACATTTTGAATCTTTCCAGGACTCGTTTGATTAAGTTGGCCAAAATATGGAAGCCACTATTACTTCTTTAAGATTGCGCGTTAGACAAGGACGGTGCCCAACGTGTTGTATCGACCTGTTATAAGATCTAACAAGGAAAGCTTGAACTCTCGTGGTGTCCTTATTCGAATGATGTAGGATGGATGTTACGATTTGCGGAAATTAAATGCTTTTTAATAATGATTCGTTTGTGTCTAGTGTGTCGTCTAGCTCTGTCTAGATCCTGTACTCTGACAATGCTCTGTCTGGAGGCACATCCCCGTATTGGCCATATAAGGAAGTACACCCGCCGGGTAACCACTGAATGAAAACCACCTAGTACAATAGCAAGGTTTAAGAGTACAGCATTTCGTAAGTCAGATAACTAATCAACATTAATCTTAAAAAAATGTTTAGGACTGTGGATAAAGTTAAATGTTTGAATGAGCGGAGGTGTTACGTGCCAGCAGACGTCATCATCTTTGTTTATGAAGTACCATGCATATTTTGGCATTATATTAATGTTGACGAAGTAAGTTCAATTACTCTCAAAAAGTTATTACAAAGTGCGACGGAATTATTACAAATTGCGACAGCTTAGTTTATTACAAAGTGCGATCGACGGTTGTTACAAATTGCGACAGCTTTTTTATTACAAAGTGCGACACGGTATATTACAAATTGCGACAGGTATTACAAAGTGCGATGGATTTATTACAAATTGCGACAGGTATTACAAAGTGCGATGATTATTACAAATTGCGACAGTACAATGTAGAGGATGCCCGCCTTTGTATTCCTAGGTAGACAAGTTGAGCTTGGGCGTTAAAATAATAAGAGTTTTTTCTGTGTAACCTCCTGCCTGTCTTAAATTTTCAGCGACGAAACAGTTCTTGAAAGAAAATTGAAGCAATTGACAAAGGAAGAAGTATACGGTTGATACCATATCCTTTTCAGATTTATTCTGCTTTTTTTCGCCTTGTATAAATTGACCTGAGATGTAGCGTCCTCCTTCCCTTTTTCTTTAGAAGGCGCGAGAAAAAGGTTCCTTTTTTATAATTAGTCCTTTTTTGCAATCAGTCCCATAAAATCCATTCCATTCCTCAAGTTTTCACGGGATCATTTGCGGTCAACTTTGGGGATTACTTGCGGTCGAGGATCATTTGCGGTCCATTTTGGGGATCATTTGCGGTCTCGGGATCATTTGCGGTTGGGGATCATTTGCGGTACTGTACAGTCCTCGCTATGTTGCACCTGGGACAGATTGTTCTCCAGGTTCTGATGTTGTCAACGTCGTACAGGGCCAGCGACTTATTGTAATATTGAAGTAGTGAACACTTGAATGAGGCTAGAGAGATGTGACTTGTGCGTAACTCAGCGGGCAGAACATTCCATGTGCGGCACGCGCGTATGAA